AGGCACCCAGTCGGGTGGAAGTAGGCACTAGGCGCTTATTATAAACTTCGTCATGACGATTTTCTTAGTGTACCCACGAGGCAGTAGCCCTATAAGTAGAAGAGTGGTGTGGGCGGGGTTTTGCACCACGTCATTGGGGGTATCCTTCAGGACAATAATATCAAACATGTACTAGGTAACAATGCTCAACCCGAGAACCCTTTGCGTATCCTTCCGTGCGTTTATTTAAATTAACGTCATTAAGTGCATCAACTCGAGAGTCTCTGGCTTTTGGCAGAGAGTCCTCACAACCGCGTCACGTAGGAGTATTGAAATTAAAAAGACGTTGAGACGACGCAAAACACGTTATCCGTTCAAAAAGGAAGCGAACAAAGTTTTTTTCCTGTTTTAGTCGAATGTGCCAGTTGTACCTTTCGTTGTCCCCAACAACAGTATAGGTTTTCACGAGGCAAACATTTTTTATCCTAAGGAATTGTTGGTACCCTACGGGCGTATATACTGAGTTTGGATCCATGTATGAAAGTGTTTCACTAGCAATCGCAAAACTATACTATATGAGGGTGTTTGTTAGTTTGCTTCAGTATAGGTACACCTAGTTAAGATGACGATTCAACCCGAACATCATTTTTTCGCTAAAGTATCGATCTCCTAAGTATAAAGCTAACGTCGGTTGACTACGGCGGTTTCAACCAAACGTGAAATCACAAATGATCCTAAACCCTTAAACATGACGCATAAGTTAAAAGGAAAATAAATCAACACGCCCTTTAAAACGTTCGTACCTCAAATAATAAAACATTTATACAACTATATCGACAATATTCATAAGATAATTAAATATACGATAAAAATCAAATAAAATTATATTTGGTCGACAAAGCTGAAACTTTAAACCAATAACACAGAATTCAAAATAGATTCAACTAAGATAGGGGAGACCAAATAGAGATAAAATAAAATGATATTAATAGAATTGTCAAATAGTCGACCTAAAATAGTCTTAGTTTGACGAGTTGACTTGCCAAGTTTATTCATTTATTTTCCAAGGTTAACCTAGGACAGACAATTCATGTTTTTCATCTTTTTTACAAAGAAGGGTTCGAGCAACTCATGCATGACTGAGTCTTATTCGTAGATTCCGTCGACCCACGAAAAGTTTAAGGTAAATCAAACATTTAAAATGAACATTGGGTTATAGAAGGAGATATAGTTAAACAATCAAATTGTCATCATACTAGGAAGTTTATAAGGAGAGTCAATTCGTAGAATGTGAATAGACTAAGTCAAAATTTGAACTTTATATTACAAACTACAAAGTTAGTTTGTGGAACGTCAATGAGTCTAAGCTAAGTCAAAATATAAACTTTATATCGTAAACTGCTGAGCAAAAAAAAGAAAAAAACTCGTTGTCAATAGTTTACACAGTATTATCAATCTCAATTATATTTATAAATGATATTTATAAATGATTTTTACGAAGATAGATTTAAATACGTATAGGATAAAATGCAAACAGTGAACGAACAACATTGTTTTAATACATAAACAATTTGTTTCTCAATCCATAGGAAACATACACATTAATTTTTTTTTCTTGTCAGATAAAAAAAAAATAAAAAAAAAGTTATGCGAGCGTGGATTCACTTAGAAGTGAAATGACATAGTATGAGTAAATATTTGACCAACCTTGAGTAAACTACTCACAAATGCAAATCACCTCAAGTAAGAAAAACCAAGCTTGTCATTTCAAATAGTATTTCAGTCAAATAAGTCGAAAAATCGGTGTCGGCAAGATAACCTCGTGTGTACGGCCTTGTAACTTGTTCGACTATAGCCCCAAAATCTCGAGCCAGTTCGTTGCATACTTCAGCCGATTATAAAGAAAGGTTTGATCTATAGATCGAACCCAATAAATTATAAATACAATAAGATATTTTTAACAATTTTTTTTTAATTTTTTCGACTACCCAACATAATTCCGAACAGTTTTGAAAATCAAATCTACAAAGATTACTATCCCAAAACTGAAGATAAGGAAAAAAAAATTGGAGAGAGACCAATCAAGAAATACTAAAATATGATAACCTTTAGAGGGGCGATCCCAATGTGAGTCCCAAGTGGTCCCATTCGGTTTTGCATCTGTCCCAAGTATTAAAAAAACAATTGAACGAGTTTTAAACATCTAAGAAAGACTATGATTCCCTCAAGATTATAGTATATATAATATAGAATTAAGTGTGGAGGTCCTGCATAATGCTAAGTGGTGCTGATAATTAGTCATCTGGTCTCAAATTATCCCACTATATTCCCAAGACTGTCCTGGATGAAACTGTTGGTCCCACATTACCTGACCGATGTACGTTTTCGTACTTAGGAGGTCAACCCCTCAAGGGACGAACGACGTCCGAGTTCAAAAAACTTTTTAACTACGAGTACCTATGCTACAACGAGACGAGCAAACGTCATCGGCTACAACGAGACGAGCAAATGTCCTCGGTTAACTTGCCTTTGCGACTACATATAAAAGTTATGGCATGCTGGTCAGCAGCTTGGTATATGGATATGCCTATAAGGGTGGTGACAACACCTTAGGGAAGGTAAGTTGCACCCCGCGGAAACCTATCCTGTAGGGGACCACGGAAAGTACGGCCGTCGCAGCCGACTAGAGCGGTGAAGGGATGACGCGACCTCGACTGTCACGTACAACTGTCTCCAAGTTATTTTTTTATTTTATTTTTTTAACTCTTGCGTGATGTGGTCGGGAGGACTCTCCCCTTTTGCAAAAAAGGCGGGAGCCGATGCGCTCGAAAACATCATAGGGTCGATGTTCGCCCAATGGAGTCGGGGCTAAAAACAATTGACGCAGTCTTTAAGGGTAGGTATCTGACTGAAATTGACCCCCTAGTTGATAGGGTTAGTGTTTGACCCTCATCAAGAGGGTCACCCTATACCAAAGACCGGGCCAACGACGGAAAGAAACTCCCGCGAAAAAGGGTTTAGCATGGGTTCGCTAACCAACAAGGATACCTTTTCATTAGTTTTTTGTTGGATGGTAAGTCTATTACCACAAAAAAACGAACCTCCTTCCGATCCGTTGGAAACCCCCCAAAAAGGGCGCTTATAATGATTGGTACTTATTGCCCACTATGTTAAGCACAAACAACAACGAGTACCGAATAATTATTCAGTCGTTCTATGTCACAGGATAACTGCCCCGTAACAGGTCCTAGCTAACCCTTTAGGGTCGTGCGAAACCTGAGATGCCATATCTGGTCCTGGGTGAGTAAGCACCAAAAAGCAACCCATTGAGATTTTTCTTTGTGAATGTTTGTCATACTTGGGATTGAGAGTGATATTATGATGCCACGCGACCCCTTTTCACCACTGGGAAAATTATGGGTCGGTACCTGATCCGATCATATGCACATAGGTCACATTAGTGCGAGCGAGCCTGGGGGATCAGTGTCCGAGGCTGCAACTCGCACCTAGGTTACGAACATGGCCGAACCACTGCACGTCTCCTTCTATGTTGCGGTGACTACAAAGTGCCCTCGGCCAGCTTACCTCTTGCGCAACATGTAAAAACTGCCTTACGTGGACTGGTAACTCGACATGGATACACTACCTAAGGATGGTTACAACTCCTTAGGCGGAGGTAGGTTGTACCCCACAACATCCTGTTCTGTCGCAGGGGACTATGGGAAGTATAGCTGGCGCACTCAGTCAGAACGACACCCTTCTCTTTATCTTGTAAACAGATGACGTCCTGCGTGACCCGGCCAGGAGGACCCTCTTGCAAGCACAACATGCACGACGTGTACCTGGGTCGATGCGCTCGACACCGTGCCCCCCATCTCTCGTGTCCTCACATGCTCACATTCCTTCACTCCTTCCTTTTGTGTCCTGTTAGCCACCAACCCCTGTCCAGCTCATCACCGAGCTATTTTGCTCACCAAATGGGCTCGCCGAGCTATATTGCTCACGAAATGGGCTGCGACACGATGCATCATGGTATGTCAGCCCTCGTCACCAAGGGTTTCCTTCCTTGTCAAAGCCGCCTCAAAAGCTGAAACCAAACGTAATCCGACCCTACCAAACCTAATCCCGACCTAAAACAATGGACAGAGATGGCCCCAGAGGCTTGCCTTCAGGCTTGGCAGCAAATGGTTCCTCCGTCATCAGAGCCGCATCAAACTCTAACCCAACGCAGCCTAAACAACGGATGGAGATGGCCCCTGAGGCTCGGGTCCAGGCTCGGATGACGCAGGTTCCGGAAGAAGGTTGTGAAAAGCACGACCGGGGCACTGGAGCAAACACAGAGATGGGGTGGTTTTTCTGTTTTTTTTTTAATTTATAAATATTATGGTCCGATGGACCACGGATTAGATATCAGAACAGATACTACACTCGGTCTGAGCCAAATAGCCGAGATAGGGGGTGCTATTTGCCTGTGCGTGCCTAGCACGTGCTATTTTTTCCCCCCTTCGTTTTTTCCACGTGCTATGTGGTCTTCGAGGGGTGAGGCTGTCGGAGACCGGCGTGGCTTCATCGATCACCCCGAAGTTCGGGGGATCGAGCCTCGACGTCCCGCGGGTGTTTGCGCGGACGGAGTTTTCGGCTATGGCGGCGAAGACGAAGAGGGCGACGGAAGGAGAGCATTTTTTCGGGGTCCGTTTGAAACTCTCAACGGACGGCGGGATGCGTTTGAAACTTTCTGCCGGCGCGCAGTGGGCGGGGAGCTCGGTAATAGGAAGCCGGTGAACGGGCGGGACGGGAACGCCACAGCAAACGAGGGTTTTTTTGATCGCGCATACCCGTCTCGATGGGGGAGGAACTGGGTGGATGGTCAAACCAGGGTTTTTTCGATCGCTCATACTCGTCTCGATGGGGGAGGAACTGGGTGGGTGGTCGGGATGAAGGGACCTGAGAATCTGGACCGGTCGGGTCGGGTCGGGACGGAACGAATCGACGATGACGTGTCGTGATTGGGCGAAGGGCGATCGAGTTCAAACCTAATTAAGCTATGTGCGAGAGAGTGGAGCGAAAATCTCCGTGCCTCACAGTGCGCCACGTGTCATCAACTGGAAGCGGATCTTTTTTTATCAAAGTGTCTCACAGTGTAAAACCACGTCAGTGCTCAGTTGTGGCGAAAAGCGCCTCCACACTCGATCACGCCGTTGGATCGTCGTCACGTGTTGATGATGACCTGTCAATCATCGATGAGCTGTAAGTCGTCAGAGTGGCGCTGAGAGGATTGACTCATGCTGTTGTGTTGTTGCTTAATGAATGTACAGCTTCGAATGGTGATGGACCTCTTCTCGTACAGGGCTAATTAGTTGGTGCTGCGGTGATCGAACAGGCTGAGTGATTGGGGGGAGGGAGGGAGGGGCGGCTTTGTCGTCTTGTGGGCCACAGGAGAGGGATGATGATGATGATGATGTGCAGTACTTAGTCGCATTCATGTGTCGAGATGGTGATGATATTTCCGGATGGGACAAGCGCTCGAGGAACTTGGTGGTCCCAGGTTAACTGGAGAACGGGATCTCGACACCGGAACAATGCTCTGACAGAAATTTGATTGAATCTGGTCGCGGAAGCAGTCCCATGAGCTCTGGATCGGCCTCGTGACTGTCAGATTTGATCGCAATCCCGACACCGGGATGGGCTGGGTGTGAGCATGCCCTTCGGAGGCGAATCGCCATATCTATATTATCAGAAGTGACGTGTGCCACGTGGCTATCAGATCGTGGTCCACGTGGCAGCGTGTGCATGTGGGCCCGGTGGGCTGTCATGGGCTGTCCGGCCGTATTCCGGTTGGTCCGTAGCCAACCATTTTCCTAGCCTTGTTTCTGTTTTCGTTTTCATTTTTTCTTTTTTTGGTATGTGTGTGTGTGTGTGTGTGTGTGTGTGTGTGTGTGTGTGTGAGAGAGAGAGAGAGAGAGAGAGAGAGAGAGAGAGAGAGAGTTCGGATGTGTGTTTTCACATGCATGCCTGAGGCCTTGTCACCATAATTTTGAAGCTGCGCGAGAGCTCGAAGCGGTGCGGCAGCCACGTGTCAGTTAGGAACTGTGCGACGATCTGAAGTCTCTGGCTCTGTGCTCGGCGAGAAGCCACGTGTCCTCTCCTCCGTTGACTTGGGGGGATGGGGGATGGTAGCCCCACGGAGACATTGAGGCTGTGCATGGCAGTGAAAAAGGGGGGGGATATCGTCGTCGTCATCGATTTAGGGGGGTAGCCACGTGTCCCCTGCTCCGTCGACTTGGGGGGGGCGCGAGAGGGGGGAAGGGGTAGCCCAGCGTGTCCTCTTGCCCGGCCATTTGGCAGCAGCTGCACGTGTCCTGTCTCCTGGTGATTTGGCAGCCAGCCCGCCTATCTGGTATAAGTCATCGATCTGGCGATGGTCTGTATTACAAAGCTGATGACGCGGCGCCCCCCACGTGTCCTCTTTCCCGCCAATTTCGAGAGGACCCGTGGACATGGAGATGCAGGGAGAAGAGACGGAGAAGTTTCTCGCCAATTTCGAGAGCAAGCGCTCGACGGCTGTGGGTGTTGATGTTCCGGCTGTGGAGCCGCCACGTGGCAGCTGCTCATTGCGCTTACAATCTGTTCTGCTGACCTTGAGGCGGGAAAAAGTGAACTGTGCCTTGTGGCTGGAAAATGCGGAGAAGCGGGAAGGGTTTCATTATCGTCGGGAAAGCATGGGGGGGGGTGTGATCGGCGGAGGGGGGGTGATCAGAGGGGGGGGGGTCATCAGATGCTGGAGAAATAACTGTACCATGATTGCAGTAGGCATTTGGGTGTTGCTTGCTGTAGGAGTGGTCAGCGATGGTGGTGAAGGAGGGAGGAGCTCGAAAGAGAAAGATGTGGAGGCCGCCATGGCTGCAGATATGCGTCCGGTTTGGTTTGATCGACTGACAGATACGAATTTCACACAGGATGTCAGGATGCATGAAAACGTGTTATGCCTGCTCACGGTTCCTTGTAAGATTCGTTTGTCTTTCCCTCTCTCTCGCTCTCTCTTTTCCTTTTTTCCTCTCTCTCGATCTCTTTCTCTTTCTCTCTCTCTCTGTTTCTGTTTCTCCTCTCTCTCGTCTCCGTGTTTTTTTTTTGAATGTTGGATTTCTGTATGTTTCGCTCGTCCTGCCCTTTTTTCATTTGCACCGGTTCTTTCGTCGTCAGTGTCTGCGTCTCTCTTTCTTTCGCACTTACTTTCTCTCTCTCTCTATCTCTATCTCTATCTTTGCTTTTTCTCTCCCTATCTTTGCTTTCTCTCTCCCTCTCTCTCTCTTGTTCTCTCTTATGTCTGTCTTTACTTCGCTCTCTCTTCTTTCTCTATCAGCCTGTTTTCCCTCTCGTTAGCGCTTGCCGTCTCTCCGCCCTTCTTCTCTTCTTTGTCTCTCTCTCTGTGGACCTTCAGTCGCGCAGTTTTTTTTTTTTTTTAGTAATAATTTTGAACCAGTTCTCGATGTATGCGTGTCCTTCTTGCACAGGGGCCATGCTAATCAATCTTTTCTGCGTCATCTCAATTTTAGCGGACGTCGCGAAGGACTCAGTCGCGCAGTTTTAAAAGCGAAAAAATTAAATGAAAAAGCACCGGCCAGTTTCCCTCGCAGGCGACAGGCATGGAGGTGTGAGCGCGCGGCAATGGGAAGGGAAGAGAGGGGAAAAGGGTTTTTCCACGTTCAACAGCCAAAAGGAGGGGATTGATGGGGGTCCCCCAGCTAAAAGGGGGGGACTGAAAAGGGGTTGCCGAAGCTAAAAGGGGGGGACTAAAAAAGGGTTGCCGAAGCTAAAAGGGGGAGACTAAAAAGGGGTTGCCGAAGCTGAAAGGGGGATCAATAAAAGGTGTACCGCAGCAATCAGGGGAGCGGATTAAAAGCGGTGCTGCAGGTGAGGGAGGGAGGGAGGGAGGGAGGGAGGCAAGTACCAGCACCGTGTACCGGTAGGGGGTGGGTCAGCTGCGCTCCAGTCCGCCCGACCTGCCACGTCAGATCTTCCCCACGTCAGATCTTCCCCCTCCCTCTCCCATCTCCTACCGAATGGGATCGCCGCTTAGGCTGTCCGTGAGAGGAATTGCGCATTTTGAATTTTTTTCTTTCTTTTTTTTTTCTTTTTCGTAGGAATTATTTACCCCTAGCTTGGTGAAAAAGTGGACGTCTTCTTAGAGCTTTTTTTTTTTTTTTTTT